GCTGAAATTCAAACTAATATTGTTGAAAACAATTGGGTTATCTAACATTTAAACAAGAGAATGAAATTTGATATTTTCAAATTAAAAACTTTTATTAATGAACAAACGAGTATCTCATACGAAATTTTCTACTTTTGGTAAATAATTGAGAGTTTTTAATTATTTCTAACGGAATTCATAGATTTTATTTCTTTAAATATATCTTTTAACTCATAATTTTTATTAGGATAGAACCGGTTGGGCGGTTAAACCCAATTATCATATAGTGAAATTTTCTGCGATACTCTGTCCAAATATTGTATACCATTTCATCCTAATGAGAAAACTCGTTCATCTTTGGTCACTACCAGGTGTAAAATCTTACAAATGGTTTTGGCTATCGTAATCAGTGTTGGCAAATGACTTTGAAGTGGCCTTAAAATGACCTAATCATGTGATGATTTTACTATGAAATCTATCACGTGATCATATACAAAGCCTAAGTCACTTCAAAAAAGGGTAATGACCTTGATCGTAATGCATGAAGCTCCAATTAGCTATTGAATTAAGCTGCATCATGTATCCTTTGTTTGCAATCACTCGTTATTAAATTGTAGTTTTATCTTATATATTTTTAATAAATCTATACTTTCACAGATTTTATAATATTTTAACTAATCAAATTTGACAGGATTCTTCCGGGTGGGCGGCTAATTCTCAAAATCATTTAGTGAAATTTTCTGTGATACCTGATAACCCAGCTTCATAACAAACTAGCGCAGTATAGAGAAAACCTGAAAACAAAAAAATATTTCGGAGACTGGATTTGTGTGACTTATATAACTTGGCTATTTTTTCATCATCAAATAATGGTCCTGAATATCGCGTTTGCGTATTGAAAAGTTTTTTGTAAGTTTCATTAATTGCTGCTGAAGGAGTTGAGTAAATTTTTGCAGCTACGTCAGATTCACACACATTAACCAGGTTGATAAATGTTATTATTACCTTGCTTAATAACACGAACAATAAACTTCACTTTATTAAGTTCAAGTTTAATTCTCATTAAAGCGAATCCAAATGTGCTCCGGTTATTTATTGGATCGGCAATTAAGTATGCAAATAAAGTTTTAAATAAGTCGACAGTTACGAAATTTAAATTGGAATTCAGTTAACTGCCAACTTCAGACGAAAATCAATTTCAGTTATGAGTCAAAGATTTTATTTATGGCGCTCGCCAAAAAAAAAAATATTTTTATTGGAAAGATTTTTTTTTTTGAATTTTTGATTTTTATACTTTTCAGGTATGTTTGATTGCTTGGGTTTCAACGACCAAATTTATTTTTTTTTTTTCTATATCTTCGGTTTTATATTATTTTTTTTTTTTTTGACTTTGTAATTTTTTTTTAGATTCCTAAGAAAGTGGCAATGAATTTTTGCTTATTGGCGTTTCAGAAGACTCAGCATATTTTCTTTTAGATTATTTTTTTTTAGTTTTAATATTTCCTTATGCTTTTTGCTTCTTTTGTTAATTTATTTCTTAGTTTCGATTGCAGCGATCGTATATTTTTATCATTTTGTCCACTAGCTTGGTCGATTAAGTTCTTCTTTCGGCGTGAATCGCTCCTAGGAGATTAGATAAAAAGATTTTTATCTTTTACTTTTATTTTATTTTATTTTATGGAACGATCTAATAATACTGTTGCCTATGCCTTTCTAAAAAAATATTCCTGCACTAAATAATTGATACGATTAGAAACCTACTTGAGTTCAAACATAAATTATATTAAAAAAAATATATATATATTATACGTTCGTCTTTTCAAATTAAACAATACCATTAAAATCCATTTATTCGTATTTGAAAAAAATAAATAAATATTTTTGATTTGTAATAAATGTATACACGTCAAGGATTTTAGTAGCGGAAATAATTATTTTTAAATGAATGGGTCCGAATGCAATTCGATAATTGAACATACATAGCATTCTTTGATTTAAGTGAGCAATTGAAATTTTGGACATCTTCCCCAAGAGAAATCCTCGGACAATTTTTTTTTTTGTGTATTAGAATTAGTTTAGGGTTAGTTTAATGTTAGTAGGGTTAGGTCAGGATAGGTATTAGCATATTATTGGTCAAATGTCACATGTCCGAGGATTTCGTGAAATATGATCTATTTAAAATGATGTTCAAATAACTCGTTAAAAATTTTAAGGCATGGTAAAACAATTATTGATTTTAAACAACGTATGGGATTGATCCCACGTAGGATAGAGACGAACCTTCCAATAGGAGAAGATTAAGGATGAATCATGATCGACCATATATCCGTTAAGTCCATCGCAAAGTCAAATTAGGTATATATTGTATGTGTCAAAAACCGCGTTCTTAATCCTCAGTCTCCATCAGTGAGGATGATCATCGAAATTCCAAAAAAGAAAAAAAGAATCGAATCTATTTTAGCGGCTAAGAAAGCGCGGTTATAATAAAATAGGAGGTCAGAGACGAATTTCTGTCAACAGAATTTCTTTTGAGTATTGGTGGAATGATCAAAGAAAAAAAAAAAAATTCCCATGTCTTCCGAAGCAAATTCACTAGCACTCTTGTTAATAAAATATGTTTAACACGATTTTTAAGCGATTGTTTGAAGGAACTTTCCTCTGCTAATAATTGAATACTTTTAAATAACATTATCAATTCTGTATCATGAACGCAATATTTATAGATTCAATAAAAAACAATACAGATATACATAGGTAACTAGAATAATTTAAATATATTTCATAAATTTTTTTAAAATTGATGCACTTTTTCCAACTACTTAAGTATAAACATTTCAAAGCTAAACGTTATCTACATAATCAGGTTCATTCACATCCGGCAATACTCCAATATTCTCAAACTTTAAGCAATCTACATATTTCGCATCCAACTCCCTAATATCACAGTTAAGGTTAATTGCGATCGCATTAAGAGATTTGCCGTTTTCATAAGTAGCGCTATTTTCTGACCCGTCAGGAATACTTTCATCAACGGCTGCATGAAGCTTAATGAAATCAAATGCTCTATTTAGCGCGAACTGGCTGATTTTTTCAAAAGGAATAACCTAAATTTTATAAAATCGTAAGAATATTATCTATTCAAAAAAAAAAAAAAAAAAATCCGAAAATCGAATAAACTTACAAAAAAGCAGTGGCAAGCATCGTCATAGACCTCAAGTGTGACTTTTGTGGGCTTCTTGAATGGGGATTTATCAAAATTCTCCGTAGCGTATTTGGGCAATTGATATTTGCTTGGATCAGAAGCTTTAAAACCAAATAAAACTATAGAATCCCGAAACCTTTCTCCGCCACCTGTTTGCTAGTTATCGTCATATTAAAAAAAATAAATATGATTTGTGTTAGTAGCAATTCTTTATTTTTGAAATTTTCTTGAAATTCTATGGACGTAAAATAGTGAATTACCTACACATAAAATGGGTGGTAAATTTCCTAAACTTTCAGCCAACATTGGACTGATATAAGGAATGGCCAAGGCCTCATTTGCGCAGTAAAGCCTAATTCTTGGAATTTTGGTAAAAGAATCGTGACCAACCACCTTTGGCTTTTTTTGCTTAATTTTATCTGATAGAATTTTGGCGCGTTTAAGATATTCAATTGACATGGGGCCTGGTGGACCAAGAGGAGGCGTACATAACCTGCCTAGCATCAAATCCGATTTATCCATTTCAGGTTCCCAGTATGATGGCATGCTGCTTGTCAAATCCACCCATGGTGACTTTGCAAATATCATCATTAATGGAGAGAAAGTTATTAATGAGGGTTGAATAAAAATGAAAAATCAGAAACATTGACATAGATTAATGAAATTGATATATACGAATAAAACAAGTCCTGATGGCAATGGTAAACCAACATCACGAAGGTACTAACAGCCAATCCACCACCCGCACTAACTCCAACAAACACAATTCGCTTTGGATCAATTGGTTCGAATCCAGCTTCCGGGCCAGGGTTAATAAGATAAAAATACGCTGCTAGAGCGTCGCAAAGTGGCGCAGGAAATTGACGTTGTGGGGAAGGTGATAATCAATTGCTAATGACCAAATTCAAAAAGGTTAGATGTATATTGTATCTCTCTTAAGTTAGTGAATTTCAATCAACATAACACAGAAATCAATTCTTACCAAAAATTTGACATTCAGCCTTTTCAGCGATCACGCTAGTATGACCGCGAGATACTTTAGAGGATCCCGCAAAATATCCACCACCAAAAAAATAAAGCGCTACCCTTCCCGTGATCTTAATTTTTCCATCATTATCTTCCCCTTCATCCTTAACTCTAATCCACTCTCCGTATAACCCACCATCATCCAAATCTTTCCATTTCTCATCAACAACGTCCTCGTATTTTTTCAAGCCATCCTCCAAATATTCCTTGCTTTTGATCCTATATTTGTCATCCAATTTAACCTCATTCACGATAATGCTATCAGGAATTGGCACAGTCATATCATCCATTTGATGCCTCGCTTCTTCTAAGGTCAAATTAGAACCTGAAAATTTACTTTTGATGAATTCAAATGTTTCATAATATTGTGGCGAAAACGATTGTGACATTATTGCTTTCCAACAAACTTTTCAAATAGTTTGACAGGCATCATGATAATTCATTGCGTATTTAAAGAGGTTTATGTTTATTGATAAATGAAAATGCGTTCTTATGCAATTATATATTGATTTTGTTATTTTTATTCTTTAAATGAAAAAAAATGATAATCATTTTGATCGATTTAATCAATAAGTTTCTATATGTGACAAGGATCTGCAAATAATGATTATGTTAATCAATAATCCAAGTGACTTTGGCCGGAGTCAAAATCAACTATCGTGTAGGGATGTTTATTCCAAACCGGTTTGAACTGTGTCGATCAATCAATTATAAACACGCTCTGAGACTTCGTATCTATCGCGCACTTTTCTTAATCTTCGCATAACATAATTTCAATATTATAAATTATATAATGACAGACAATGCGCAAACCATCACATCTATGGTTGAAAATGAACGACAGGTAAAAAAAAAGTAAGCTATGCTATCCAGTTTGGCAATAAATATCTCTCTTGGAATATGGACAAAGCTTGTTTACTTGTAATATACAGTATCTCAATTCACCTATTGAAAATGTTAATATTCTCGCATATTGGAAGGCAAAATCAGAAGAACCTCAATGGATTCCACTTGCAAATATGGCGCGAGATTATCTGATAATTCAAGCAACAAGTGTACCAAGCGAACAGATTTTTAGTTTGGCAAAGTTTACAGTTAGCTCAAAAAGAAATCGCCTAAATCCAGAAAAAGCTTGCGAATCACTTTGTCTTTAAACATGGTTCGCAGCAGGATTAATTGAAGAAAATTTTATGGAGGATAATAACAATGATAATTAGCTGAATTATTTTTTTTATATTCAATCTTTAATAGTTTTACTGTATATAATATATCTTTTAAAAAAATATATTAATTATATATCATTATATAAAATGTATTGACACATAGTTATATTTTCAAATTAGAAAAAAATTAGTCTAAACCAGATTTTAAATCTGGTTTAAGCTAGTTAGCTTAAACCGAATCTCAAGTAGTTCAAGACCTGTTTCTACTAGTTTGGAGCATAAACAGAACCGTTTGAGCAACTTAGCATCACTAGTGACAATTAAGGAATTTATTTATTTAACCTTACGAAAAAAAGGGTCTTACACATATTGAAAAAAGTCAAATTATAGTTGCAATAAAAGTGAATATACTGTATTTTATGGATATTGTATGGTGTTGTATTTATATTGGTTAAACGTTATCCAATGCAAATATTATCGTATGGCTAATGCAGATCAGGCTCTAAATAAAGTTTATTTAATTATAAACATTATTTTCAAACAATTTCTTGCTTTTATTTCTTAAATAAAATTTTTTCTTTATTATTAATCTTTAATAACAAAATTTACGAAAAAAACTTTAGTAAGTTTAAGTTACAATATTACACAATAATAAAATTTTTTTTAATATTATTTAAAATGATTTTCGAAATGAGGTTTCAAATGATAATTTGGGAAAAAAGAGTTAATTTCTTCTGCGAAATTGGAAGTTAAGAATACTGAATATTCTACCAATAATTGGATACGTGCTGTAGAAAAATTTCGAGCTAAAACTAGAGGAAATATCTGATATAATAGCAATGGATTCTCAATTATTACAATATTTAGCAGCAAAAACAGAAAAACAGCAATGAATATTCTGTCTCTTCAATTAAAGCAGCTGTTTCAGCTATTTATCGTCATTTACACCAACATTCAGTCATAACAAATTACAATTTATTAGCTATGATTTCTCAATGTTAAAAATCAAAATTGGATCATTTAAAAAATCTACGCGAACTATTACAAGAAATGATTTTAGTAATACTAATTTAGAAAATTACTATGAATACTAATAATTTATTTGATTTGATAAATAGTGGAGTATTACAACAGGTTAATTTGAAATTTACATTACAGATTCTTAAATTTTTACTATACTTTTAATGCCCGATATTATACAAACTATTAATATTCATATAAAAAAATATTGGTCCAACAAACTCAGCATGATCCTATAGGACCATGTAATAATAATGCTGAAAGTGTATAAATACAACAAATTAACTTTTTAATATATATTTTTTAAATTATGCACTTATTTATTAAAATAAATTTGTACACAATTATAAAAAATAATTAACTGTTGAAATAAATAATTTTAACCAACGATTAACCCTGCTTATAAAATGCTTATAATGTATGACTTATCATAAATTATTCCTTATATAAACTACTTTTTTATTCAGTTTCAAATAATTCTAAATTCATTTTTAATGTATCAAAAAATAGTGTCCAAAAAATAAACTTTTTTAAAATTATATTAGTTCTAAAGTATTGCATTAATTAATATAATATTTTTTTACTATTTTCTTAATAACCTTTCTACAATACAGTAGCATTGAGTTTACAAGATTAATTAGAAGATTATCTGAAATTTTTTCAACTTCTCTTCCAGAAAAAACTTTTTAATTCATTAAAGTTTTTTGGCTTATACAATTTTACATTATTTTTAACAATTCCTAAAGTATTCAATAGGATTTAAGTCTGCTAGTATTCTAAGAATCATTATCTTACTATAGTTACCATCTACCTTATAATATATTGTGCACTTTTGAAAGTTATTTTTCTAATATTTCTATATAAAATATTTTTTATCCATTATGCATCTAAAATATATAGCTAGTGGTACATTTTATTTAAAACTACCTTAAATGATAATTTATTTCAATCTTTTAGCATTAGATGTATTAGTCTTACATTTTTATGCCAATGATTATCATATTATAGAATAATTTTAAGGATGTTCATCACTAAATAGAAAATCATTCTTGTATTTTTAAGTTCATTCAGCTCATTTTGCTTATAGAGAGAGGTTAATATTGGTATATAAAGAAGAAGTGTATTTTGGTATGTCTAATGCCTTAAATAATTGAATAGATCCTATAACTTTTAATTTATCAGCAAACAACCTAGCAGAAATTAAAGGTTGCCTTTGAATATATTGTCAAATTATTTAAGATCTATTTTTAATATGTCCATTATCATCTTTATGCTTTATATCTCCAGTATTTGGATTTTTTTTTAAGGTTTAGCAGATACTACTTATTGAAATCTTTGACAAACTTTATATTTCAATAGCATTTTATATTCCTTACTTCTAAGAATATAATTTTATCTTTCATTGTATTTTCTTATCTTAATAAAGTTATTTAATATTCAATAAAATATAAATTTGTTAATCAGAAAGGTTTTACTAAAAGATAATTCTCTATAATAGAAATAACCTATTATATTTCAATTAAAGTTCTCTAAAACAAATTTCTATCTAATTTCTCCTTAAAAAGATTTTAAATTAATTAATTAATGATAACACTAAGAAGTGTTTATTTTTAAGAAATTTAAAGGATTAATTTTTTAGAACTTACATATTAAACACTGCAAATATTTTACAATATTATTTTTCTTAATAATACTTCTATTTTCATTAATTATGACAGGTAATTTATTATAATTATGTAATATTTATTTAATCATTTATATAATAAAAAAATTATTTAGCTAATTTTTTTAAACAAATTTTTACATAGTTTGATTGTCAAATATGAAAATTCAACTTTATTACATAATCTTAAATCTTTCCTTTATATCTTACAATATTTTTATTAAATTTTTAAATATAACTTTATTTATTTTTTTAACTTCTGATTTTCCTATTATTTTATTATTTAATTGTAATTTTAATTAATCAGAATAATACAGATTAGCAATATATATATACTTCATGTTTAAATATTAAATCTAAACTTGTATTATCACATAATAGTGTTAAAAATCTAATCTAATATTTATATCTGAAATTAGAATTTAACTGAAATTAAAATAGTTACACAAAATTGACCAATAAAATTATAATTAAAATTGGAATTTAAATAATAAAAAGGGTTTCTGAAATTGGAATTCCAATGAAATGATTTTGATAAAAACTTTCATAAATTGAAATGCTAAATGAATAAGGCCATTTTAAATTGAGATATCTGAAATTAAACTTCATATAGAATTTGTATTTCAAATATAAGTCCATCTGAAATTGAGATATCTAAAATTAAACTTTAGATAGAATCTGAATTTCAGACATGAGGCTATCTGAAATTAGAATGTTTGAAATTAAACTTCAGATAGAATCTGAATTTTAGATACAAGGCTATCTGAAATTAAGATATTTGAAATTGAACTTCAGATAAAATCTGAATTTTATACAAATTATATATTATAATTTAAAATTAAAGTAATATGAAGAATCTATTATTTATATGTACACTCACCTAGCAAAAATGACCGACCAACAATAATTTTACGATTAAATACCTCATTTTTAAATAAGTAT